GTGAGGAAGTCCAACTTCAAAGTCCCATCGGAGTCTATCATAGGCCTTCTCCAGGTCAATTTTCACTGCTATCCATCCAGTTCTACCTCGCTTTTGCCTCATTGAGTGCATAATCTCCTGAGCAATGATGATATTATTTGTGATTTTCCTCCCTGGCACAAAACTAACCTGAGTTGGTGCAATAATCAGCGGCAAAATAGATTTTAATCTATTAACAATGACCTTTGTAAACACCTTATAGCTGACATTACAAAGGCCTCTCATCTGATCCTCATCCTTACACCACCACCCAAGATCATTTTTCAACCTGCTTATATGATTCTGTCTTCTCCCGATAAGGGTTGATGTATAGAAATATTTTGTGTTTCTATCTCCATAAGCCATCCATTTACATCTAGATTTTTGGAACCAGAATAATTCCTCCTACAGCTTATGTCTTTTAAATCTTAGTAATAACAAGTCTTTTCATAAGTGAGAAGTGAGATCTTAATTCAAAGTAATCTGGATTTGCTATAAGGTGTGCCTTTCTTTTGCGTAGTACCTTTGTGTAAGCACATGCATCTTGTAGTTGTTGGTTTCATGTTCTTGCTTAGAATTAGGAAATATCATCCAGTGACCATGTAAAAAACTGTCATAGAACAGACAGTCTACATTCTGGGTCTTTTTAACTTTTTGCAATCCTTGAGGAGAAAATGTATGATCAACTTGATAGGTTTAACCTGACTTTGTCACGAAAGATATGTAATCGATTGTTTTGTTTTGGGTGCTGGAGTGGTGATTGTTAGATGGCTTATGTACAACTATGACATGCTTATTGACAACCTTATCCTGAATTACATGTAGATGGTTTCTTGGTTGGAAAGTGTTAGCTTTTAATATGGCATGCTGTAAAATGCTCATTTTTTAAGCTGAAAATGACCTGCTAATTACTAAAGACTAGAATCGGAATGAGGTATCCATGTTTAATTATTTGTACATAGACATGAATTGCTTTCGACTCGTTAATGTGGTGTCGTGTTCTAGTTCTAGTTATGTTATCGTGCTGAGTCTGGAAATATGCATAACAGAGCTTGTCTATTGAAGGAACATAGTTGTTTACAGTCGGTGACCCTAAAATACAGAGCATTGAACCTTCTCAAAACTCATGCTGATCTGAGATTGTACACAGTCTTGAAAACCCCTTTTAAGGATTGGATATACTAATCTGTTGTGACCGTGAGCTTTTTTATGCCAAGATACTCAGATATCACTGAAATTTCTTGTTGCACCATTTGGCTAATGAGGGTGCATTGAACATTGTTTTTTGGCTTCTTGCTCTTTTGTGCTTTTGGATTATCTCAAAGTTCCACACTAAAATTTTGTGCAATCAGAGAACAGCATGCAGGAGAGACGATTTTCCTACCTTCTGATCTATTAAGTAGTGCATATTTAGTTGAGCTGTCTTCCTTTTTTTCTCCTTTATTTTCTCTTCCACTGTCCAATAATAAAACTGTCGAAATCAGGGACAGAAATGGACCTCACCTTTTATTATAGTTTTGTTGGTGCAGTAGAGTGGGTTATGATGTGTTCTAAATGACGTTTTTTTTTTTAGTTTTTGATAAATGTGTAACTGATATACTGAGAACTTTATTGTGTCTTTAAGTGTGTTTTTATTGTGCCTAGGAGTTACTTTATGTTTTAATGATCGTTAGAACGTTTAATTTTAGTTTTAAATGTTAAAGAAGTAGGTTAGGGCATTACTCTCTATTTTTATGGTGATTATTGTAGATTAAGGACGTTTGGATCACGAAAAGTGTACTAGCCGCATAATGCATGACCATGCAGCATTGCACGAGTCGCAACAAGAGCAGCTAGAATTGGTGAATGCATGATTGAGCAACATTACACGACCATAACCGTGACATTATGGCAAGACAATCGAGAGTCATTCTTTTCGACAATTGAAAGAATATTAAAGACCATAAGACTAAGAGGAGAAGACATGGTTTTTTGAGAGAGAGAGAAAAAAAGATTGAAGAAAACAAGAAAATAAGAGAAGAAGAAAGGAAGCCCAAGAATCAAGGAAGAAGATTAGAAGAATTTCATAGCAACATTCAAGAGTTCTTTCTTCCTTCATCTTTTGTTCTTGTTTTATGACTCGATTTATTTTCAGTGTGCTATTATCAATCATAATAATGGATTGCTAAATTTTCATTAGGGATTAACTCTTGAAACATTCCTTTGATGTTAATCTTTTGGGTTTAATTTTAGCTTTGCGATGTTTATTGTTCTTCATGCTCTAATTACAATTGAGAAATTGAATTGGATGACTTGTGTTATATTTCAATGAGAATTGTTGCATAATAGATCGGCAAACATCGAGTTAATTGATAATTACTAAGAGATCGTGATTGTTGATTAATTGCTTGAAAGATTGCTTAAGGAATTGATTGAAGCAATTTGGGTTGGGGTTATTAGTTGAGAAACTATAATTTCGCTCATGTTTCTTCAAGTCGATAGTTTAGTTGTTGCTTGAGAAAGAATAACTAACATCATTGGATATCTAGGGCCTTAGTCGTATTGAACTCATTAGAAAGACTAATAGGGGATGTGGATAGTGTTAATTCCTAACCTATTAAACCTTGATTAATTTCTTTAAGTTTCTAGAAATTTCAATTCTTGTTTCCGTTATTGAATTCTTATTTGATTTATATATATCATCTTTATCTTATTAATCTTAAACAAATCGAAGCTATGTCAATTGGTGGATAAAATATAATTCTCATGGGAACGATATCTCTTCATACTACTTGAGCGATCCATGCTTTTGTGGAACCAACGATCAACAAGTAAGGCTTGTGACTTATGATCAAATATCAAATTCAAATAACCATCCACCACAAAATAGAAGTACCAAACATTCTTGAATCCTATCATTGCATGTTTTCAAATGAAGCTAAACCGCGCAAACAATTGTAAGTTGGCACTCGGAGGTCATTAACAATGCTAGTAGTCTCACTAATGGAGGGATTATATGTGTTGTTCTATAATAGTAGAGGGACTCGATAAACTAAATCATGACAATAGACGGACCAACTGGGTCATTAACCCAAATTTGATTATATTTGTTGGGCTAGATTTGTATAGAGTGAAAAGCTTTTCTTTTGTGAGAAAGATTAAAAATTTTGACTCGAAGGTGAATACATGATATTCCATTTTTTGCCACATAAATTTTTGAGAAATGGAAAAGAAATCGGGCCATCAACTTGCCGATTCTCTCTTTCAAAGAATAGTAATCTTGAGATATTCTTGTCCAATATTATTGAAGGGTACCAACATTGCTTCGAAACTCGTTATTATATTCGTAACGGATATTAATTATGCTTGGCAATGAAATGAACGAGTCAAAGAACTTGCACTCGCTTTTCCAGCTTGGCTCGCAAATGTTCATCAAAGCTTGGGTTTATCTTTAGCTTGGTCGGTGAGTTGTTTTCAAGGGAAAGAGAAGGGAAGATAATGAACCCTTCTAGCTCCTTATGATAACTTCTTAGGAATGGGATACAACATATTTGTGTTTAATTAACCTCATTTTTAAAAATAATCTAAATTTTGATTCGATATTTCTCTAAATATAGGTAAAGGTAAAAGACGCGAGTATTTCATATAATGTGAATTTCGAACAACGTAATTTATTATCTTTTAAAGACACAAGAGTTTCATTATCTTACTCGTGTCTTAATTAGATAAGAAGGTTTGACCAAAACCTTTAAGGAACTTCACAAAGCTATCGAAGCTTCCATCAACGATCCATTAGGACCATATCTATAGTTGAGCGACTAATCAATACTTCCGCCATGTGTGACCATATCTATACCCATCTTAAGGATCCGATTGCTAGCACGGATATCGTTGAGAGACCAAAGTGTATTTTGGCAATGCTTAACACTTGGTAGAAGTGAGACAGAAAACGCTTAATGCCCGTAATCAAAGACCCCATCTCACACATTCGGCTCTCAAGTCAATGGATCATAATCGATTAAATGTCCCATGTCCCTTACTCGCTTATTAGTTAGATACTCACGTTATGTTATTATCGGACAACTATTATATACACAAGATTAACGATTCATATAGTATGATGTAAGTACATATTTTGTTTCTAAATATTAATATAAATTGAATATATATATTAAGCGAACTTGTTTGATTTATATATATTTATTAACAAAATAATTTATAAAATTAGTATAAAACTTTGTATTCAAATAATTAAGATGTTCTTTCAAAATATTAATTAAATTATTTTATTTAAAAATACAGATTTTAAATAATAAATAATTGATGTTATGTGTGCAAATATAATTAATTTCTAACAAAACTATATATATATATATATATATATATATATATATATATATATAGTACTTAGCAGATTTAGAATATATAAAATAAATTAAAATATACGTAAAACTAAAAAACAATAATTTTTTTTTATATATTTTCACACCTAATTTCATTTTAAAAATATAAAAATAAATTATTTATATAGAAGGAAAACAACTGTCATCATCAGTCTTCCTTTCTTTTCTCAATTGCTAGCAAAAAAAAAAAAAAAAAAAAGAAATGCTACAATAACCAATCCTTGTCAACAGCCTAGACCCTTAAAAAAAAAAAACTACAGTAAATAAACAGTCAAGAGTCCAAATCTTTTAATTTTTTTTTTTAAATTTATAATGAACAATAATTATCTCAAATGTTTTAGTTTTTAGGTAGATGGGATGGGTTCTTAACGGTTTATATCTCCCTCTTCCTGATCCTGCAATTATCGGTTCGGAGGCAGGATAAGGAACCTTTCCCTGTCGGATTTGGAAGGCCTAGGGATTTACAATTTAATATATATATATATATATATATATATATATATACACGCACGCACACATTAGTTAACAGTTGATACATGATTAAAAATAAATATTGAATTCATGCAAATATTGAATTTTGCTATAACTCCACCAAAAAGTATGGATGCACATGCAGGAACAAGCCTTCAAGAGACTGCATTACGAGGAATGAAATTGGCATTGGAGAAGAAGGCATTTGAGCTCAAACTGAACGTTTTCTGCATGGAGAGATGAGATTATGCAGCCAAAAGAGAAGAATCCATACAGTTGTAAAAGTTTTGGTGAAGCAATTCCACCTCTGTGTGCAATTGAGGTTATAGATGTGACAGGGGAAATGCAACTATTGACACTGGAACTGGGAAGAATCAAATTTGGGCAGCTCAATAGTACAATTCTCAAGTATTTCATGACATACATTTATTTAATCTTCACCAAGCTGCCGGCCTTTTAACAATAGCGTGTCAGTCATTCTAATTTTCTCTCCCGCAGCTTTAACCTCATATCTTATCTAGCTTTATTATTCCGATCTTCCGATAGATTCAAAAACCTTTTGACTGTCTGTCTCATCAGGATTAGAGCAGTTGGGGTTTGGACTGCCTGCAGCCATTGGCACTGCTGGTGCGAAGCCAGATGCTATCATCATTGACATAGATGGAGATGGTAGCTTTATGATGAATCTTCAAGAGCTAGTGACAATTCAAGTACAAAACCTTTCAATTGAGATCTTTGTCCTCAATCGTAAGCATCTACGTATGGTCAACAAATGCCAAGTTGGGTTCAGAAAGTCCTGGAGAGGGCATTCTTGCTTGGGTGCCCCATTGAAGAACTTGGGAGACTTTTCCAAAAATGTTCTATTTGGCAGAACCGTGGTGGAGTGTGGAAAACCAGCTGCCCAAACATGTTGGACTCAGCAGAAGCCTGTGGAATACCAGCTGCTCGTGTGACTGAGTCAGAAAGCCTAAGGATGCAATTATGAAGACGGTGGAGGCTCCAGGTCCATGTTTGTTTGGTGTGGTTATGCCTGATAGTATCCTGTAGACAAGTGATATCATACACAAAGTTACCTGAGAGTAATAACTCTTTCGAAGAGGAGAAAAAAAGAAAGGAAATAATTACATAGGAAAAACAAGTAGGCCTTTCTATGTCAAATGTCTTTAGAAGGCAGGTGCATGTTGCCTCACTATTATGGATCATACAACAAAACTACCAAAATAAGGAACATACTTTACCTATTCTGTTACTTCTTTTTTTCTTTTTGGATTCTTTTAGCACCTTGACAGACTCCAATATTCTCAATTGCTCAACTTCGACTCATCTTTCTTCTAAAAATTCCTGTATAAGTTATATGTTTAGCTGATTGCCTTATACCAAACAAAAGTAACTAGACCTATGACATCCTGATTCCAACTGGAAGTAGAGTTGCTTACTTTATATTGGCTTCTCTCTCATCAATGAGCAATAGTTACTTGAAACATCTCGACATTTTCCTTAAATGTTGAATCAGACATAAGCAAGAGCTGGTAATTTCATACTATTCTCTTTCCACTGCAAGTGCACCCTTCTCTATTCCCTGCATGAACTTCCTCTCAATTGTAATTTCTTCAAGGACTTGGCGTAAAATGCGGAGTGAGAATCATGCAGATTCTTGGAAAAAGGCTTCAACACCAGGAAAAAAAATCATTAGCTGACTCAGAACTGCACCCCTCAACAGAAGAAAAACAGTAGGTTACCATGTTGAAAAATTATAGGACATCCTAACAGGAAATATCTAAGCATTCTGACACCAGAATTCAAATTTGGATCTTGGACTTGGTATGAATATTGTATTTGATTATTTGATTCATGGGAAAAAATAAAGGCCTCCGCTCAGGAAGTGCTAGCAAAAAGAAAGGTTGAGCTCTTCAGTCTTGAACTCACTCAAAGTTCCAATTCCTTCTCATTCAAAATGATTTTTTCTTCAAGCAGACAACATGCAAGGAACACCTAAAAGTACAAACTTCAGATAAAAAGGTAGATATAATAATAAGTACTAAAAGTTTTTTCACTCATCTTGAACATGGTAAGAAAAGAAAAAGAATTTGATGGTATATACCTCAACGTTGAGAAACTCGGGAGCATGAGAATGCGAATCAAAAGTACTGTACTAGACTTCTCTGATGTCCTTAAGCCTCTTTTGGTCAACAAGAAGCAACCAGGTAGAGAACTGTGGGCCTTTCTTCACATTAATTATAGTATTATAAGATACATAAAGACTGCCGCTTATTCTGTTATCAACGTAATTAAAATCCCGGTGTTTGACACAGAATACAAACTTCCTTTCACAAGACAAACAAAAGATTAAGCCTTCTCAACTTGGTTGCAGAAGTGGAATGTTTTTGTGTAAGATATAACACTGTACCCAGGAGACTTTTTCAAATTTCTTTCTTCCATTAATTTTCTCATCTTCCAAACACCATCCCACGCACCAGCTGCAGCATATATGTCTGCTAAAACAACATAGTTAACTGAATTTTCTGGATCCATTTTGAAAAGATGTGTGGCTGCTTCTTCTGCAAGAGGCATATTGCCATAGATTTTGCATGCCCCAAGAATGGCACCCCAGAGCGAGGCATTAGGTTTGATATTCATCTTGGATATCAAATGATAAGCTTCTTCCAACTTCCCTCCACGTGCAAAAAGATCAACCATGCAAGAAAAATGTTCAACTCGTGGCAGGATATTGTATTTTCTGATCATATTGTTAAAGCATTCCCATCCTTCACCTGTCAATCCACAATGACTACAAGCAAAGAGAAGAGATAAGAATGTAATGTCATTTGGCTTCAAACCTTCAAATTCCATCTTCTTAAACAGCGCAATTGCTTCATGTCCATATCCATGGTTCCCATATCCAGTAATTAATGACGTCCATGAAATCACATTTTTCTCTTCCATCTCATTGAAAGCACGGTTAGCATCTTTAATTTCTCCAGATTTTGCATACATATCAATAAGAGAATTGCCCATGGCCACATCATAAGTGGGTTTACATTTTAAAGCAAGAGCATGGATTTGTCTTCCCAAACTCAAAGATGCTACGTTGGCACATATGTTAAGCATGGAGCATAATATAACATCATCTATCTCCATATGCATCTGCTGTATTTCTTTGAACAAATCCAGGGCCTCCCTACTGTAGTTACAGTCTCGTGCATATCCGGTCATCAGTGCCGTGCAAGATATCATATCTTTCATTGGCATACTTTTATATAAGCAATAAGCACTGGCTAAGCTTTCACATTTTGCATACGCATCAATTAGAGAACCACTCAAAGAAATATGCGATCCATAACCTAGTTGGATGATCAATCCATGTATTTGGCAGACTCTGATAATACCACTAGCCATATCAGACGCCTTTAAGACACTCCTGAAGGTGAAAGGATCAGGGCTTATACCTATTGAATTCTAGTATTTCAAATATATCAGAGAAACACCCATACAAACAAAAATACAAAAAAGATTGAAACGTTTTCTTTCAAGAGTTTAAATAAAAAATATTCATACCTTCTTGCATCATCGAACCAAACATTCGAAATGAATCACCAGCAAAACCCTGAACAGCATATCCGCCAATCATTGCATTCCAAGCAACAACATCCCTTTCTTCCATCATTCCAAACAAGTAACTAGTATCCTCCATCTTTCCACACTTTGAATGCAAATCAAGCAAAGCACTTTGCACAATCAAATTACCAGAAAATCTACTCTTCTCAATACACCCTTGTATTTGCATCCCTCTCTGCAAACACCTCAAACCAGTACATGCGCGCAACACACTCCCATAAGTAAATTGATTGGCCTTAAAACCTGCTCTAAGCATGTCTAAAAACACCAACAATGCATCTTGGTAATACCCATTTTGTGTGTAACCAGAAATCTGAGCAGTCCATGACACAACAGTTCTTTCAGACATTCTATCGAACACCTTTCGTGCAATGCCTATGTAACCAAGTTTTGAGTGAAAAATAACTAATTTGGTGCTTAAGTAGAGATTTGAAGCAAAACCATTTGTTATAATTTGGTTGTGAATCAAATGGCCTTGTTTTTTACCTTTTGTTTCTATGCAAAGTTGCAAGCTTTTCATGTAGAAAGAGTAATCTAACTGAGATGGGTCAGAGACAGAGAATTTTGAGTGTGCTTTGGAAAGGCAGGCAACCGTTTTTGTGATTGGACTTCTCATGGTTTGATAATGAAACAAAATTTGCGTGCTTGGTTTATAGTTAACTTTGGAACCTTTTGGGCACTAGACACACGTTGATGTTTCTGTTACGGACAAAGGTTGAGGACAGGTTTAATATTAGCTTGCAGCATCCCCGTATTCTTGATTTTGTGTTAAAAATGTAGTTTTACTTTTCATTTTATTTGTGTAAATTGGTTTTTGTATCCTTTCGGTAGAATCGGTGAGTAATGATATTAAATATTATGATTAAGGGTATACAATGGTAATATGTGTCTAAATCAATAAAATATTTGACTGAGAAATACGATACAAATTAGAAATAGTTAAAAGAAAACAGAAAATGAATAAAATAAATTGGCAGTCAAAATAGGGAAAAAAAATAAATAAAAAAAACTAAAAAACTAAAGTAGAAAGCCTGTTTCGAGGCCCTTGTGTGAGCCTAGGGCCCAGATTCTCTCATAGAAGCCTTACCGAAAGGTTGTCTCGGACAATCCCTTCTCTCCCGCCCACAATTTTTTTTTTTTTTTTTTTTTAAATATAACTAGTTTTTTACCTAGATTATGCATTAGGCTAGGTAGAACTGATGAAATCATTTGAAAAAATTAATCTAATTTAATGGACCGTACTGTATTATAGATCCATCAAAATATGTGAAATCAAATGTAAAAAAAAAAAAAATCTTTTAATTTTTTAATCAAAATTTTATATTTAATTCATTCTTCTTTATGTTTTTCATAATTTTTCTACCAAAAAGAACATGATTTATTCTCTTTTTATCCATGGATTTTTATTTAAAACTTGTAAATTTAATACAAAATAAAAATAGCCTTGGTATTTTGACTTTTATATATATATATATATAAGATTGTGTTGAAAAAAAAATAACAATTGATAAAAAAACCTAGATAAAAATAAAAAAAATGAAATAGATGTTCCTTTAAAATATGAAAATATATTATATATATTTTTTACTCGTCATGCTATGTGAGCAACCCAAAAATAATGATCCATCTTCCACAAATTTTACTCAAAATTTTGTAATAAAAAAAATATTAAAATAAATTACAAGGAAAAAAAAAAGACAAAGAAGAAAAAAACCAAGCCAATGTGCAGACTTGCATGTTGGGCAGCAAGAATCAGGCCCGCAAAGGCAAGCCTATAAAAAAATAGAAAAAAAATGACTTGTCATTTACTTGTCGTGTCTGTGACATCCCCGACCTAGGAACTAAAGTAGGTCGAAAATATTATCGGCAATGCCTCAAATTCTAAATGCAATGAATGTGAGATACTAAGCCTCGTGTCCTTACTGTCTAAGCAATTTATCATCACAATGGAAGTTCAATTAAATTAAAATTTAGGTCCATCGTTTTATATAAAGGACTATTGTATCATAAAAGCATGAACTTTACACCTTTTAATCATTTAGCATGTTGTTTCAAAAGTGGATGAAAAATACATAAACTAAGCTTATGGTAATCATTTAGCACGGCGAGCATTTTTCCTCCAAAATTTCGAGTTTATATGACGTGGCATGACATGTAGGATATCACCATGGATTATAGTCCACATAAGATGACACATGGAAAATAATTAAAATTTTCTTCTAATGGATGACATTTCGTCCACTAATCCTAATCTGTTCCAAAAACAAATTCTCACAATACAAACCTAAATCAATTTATAAAAATCTATAATCTTCTTCTCTTCTCTGCTAGACAAACAAGAACTCATTCCTCTCCCCCATGAATCTTCAACCAGTACCAATTCCCGTAAAAATTGCTTACCATTTATGGTGCCATAATTGTTTCTAGAAATGTATTAGGATTATTTTCAATAAAAAAAAAATTGTTTTTGCTTTTAAGCTAAAGCTTTTGAAACTTCTGAAGCAGAGAGACTCTATGATCTAGACAAGAACTCCATAGGCTCTCTTAGTGTCTATGGTTGAGGGATTACAAGCAACAAAGATGCCGATTTCAACTCTTGTTCCTCCCCTAAATAATCTAGTAAAGAACTACTCTTAAAAGCATAATAAAGCCCACTTTTCATTTCTTCAACCTATAGTTTAAATATGCCAATGGAATTGTAAACCTCTTTTCCTTTAGCTACTTCTTTGTAGATGACAATGAACTACTTTCTTATACTCTTAATGATTTCCACATAAAAGTTAAAAAAAAAAAAAAAGGTACGGAGTAAAAGCCACTCCATATCCATGGCCTAACCTTGTAGATCTACTATAGCTTTGCTAATAACCTACATTATTTGGAAATTCTTTCAGGAAGAAACATGTTGTCGCCAACATAAACTATTCAAGGCTTGGAAATTCTTGGTTTTTCCGACACTAAAAGTCAATTATGTTTTTTCTAAAAGCAACTATAGCTATTTACACTATCATTTCGATCTCCCTCATCCTCTACTCCTTCCTTAATCAATCTCAATGGCTACATTGCCTAGAATGCAATAAGATTCATGGAGGAGAGGATTGGGTTCTTGTTTGTGGGGCGAGAGAAAGAAGAAGATTATAGATTTTTATAAATTGATTTAGGTTTGTAGTGTGAGAATTTGTTTTTGGATTAAAATTTTAATTTTTTGCCACATGTCATCCTATGTGGATTGTAAGCTATGGTGGCATCTCACATGTCATGCCATTCATATGAACTCAAAATTTTAGATAGAAAATACCTCTCGTATTAAAATGATTATCGAAGCTTAGTTCGTGTATTTTTCTTCAATTTTATAAGAATGTGGCGAGAATGATTAAAAGGTGTAAAATTCATGTTTTTATTATACAACAAGCCTTATATAAAATTAAGCTTGTAAATTTTTCAAAACATTAATTCATTTAGTTAGAAATTGTCATTATAACTTAAAACTTCATTTTAAAGATTAAATCATGTAAATATGTTTACCAAATGTACATTAAAAATTCATTTGTGAAAAAAGATTAAATAAATATTTTTATACAAAATTTTGGTTCAAAACATAATAAATTGCCTCTTTAATATTCTCTAAATATTTTTATAAAAAATTGGATTAATTACATAATTAATTCAAATACATTTAATATGAGGAAAATATAATTTCAATTAATTTATTTATTCTAAACTCAAACATAAAAATTTGGATATATATAATTCAATCAAATTCATTTAATATCAATATATTTTAATCTAATCAAATCCAGTTAGCATAAATATAATTTATTCTAATTAAATCCCTTTAATATGAATATGATTTAATTTAAATATTTAATATGAATATAATTTAATTTCTAATTAAGCAATTAATTCCTTTCAAACAAAATACTGTTAAATAGTTAACATGTTATTAAATCTTAAATTCCCACCAATGTATTAAAGTCAATTAGTTAACTTTCAATTTATTCGAAAATCCATAGGTGTTAAATTCATTTAATCACCATGGTTAATATTATAATTTGAGCTCATTGGAAGCCAATTAATTCATTAAACTCCTGGAATGTCACTTGATTAATTAAGCCCCTTGAAAGCTAAATTAACAATTTTATCAATTTAGGTCATTTAATCAATTTAGTCAATCATTTCTTAATTTAAACCTTAAACTCGAATTAACCAAAGCACACATATCTATTAATTTATTAAAATTGTCACCAATACCATTAATTTACATACAATAAGAACTAGTCATAAAACACTTAGTATTGTCCAAAAAGCATGAAATAAAAGAAATTTTTAGGTCTTTTAAATCACATCTATATTTTAAGTACACTTGTCAACAAACTAAGCTTTCTTCGGCAACAACCTTTAACTTGAAACACACCATTATTTATCCTTTTTTTCACCTACCCCACAAAAAGAAAAGGTGAGCTATATTCAATAAGTGTAAATTCATACATGATAAGCATGTGATGTATATAAAATCTTTTCCTTTCGTACTCGTTTGAAATTTATTTTTTTCTTCCGATGCATCCCGTCGAATGTGTACATATTCGACCCTTTTTAAAAACATGCAATTATGAAAACTACAAAAGCATTAGACACATTTCTCTTGTAAGCCTTTTGAAGGTGTCTAACTATTTTCTTTTGAAAACATGTCATTTCCTTTTTCTTTTCATTAAAAATCATGAAGAAAAATCATTTTTCATGATTTTGGTGTGAATATGCATGCAATAAAATACATTACCTCAATCCTTTCTATGAACATGCATTCATTAACATAAATATGTACATGTAAACATAAACTTATAAACATTAACTTGTACTTATTAATTAATTGCATGCATATATTTAATACTTAAACAAACATAATTCAAATATCACAAAAATTAAAAAATAACCAAAAAAATTCACACAATAATAAGCATCCATATCAACCTTTAAACATCTAATTACATACCAATTAATTCAATTTAACCATGAAATCTAAAATTTATCAACTAACACACCATGATTGGTCGAGGCCAAATTACCTCACTTGGTGTGCCTAACATCTAATCCTCCAAAGTACACCTTTAAACATTTTAACTCATGATTTCATAACTCCATATCCATGATTTCATTGCAATTACATTCATTCTTCGGTAATCTTAGTTTTGGTCGAAACATGCAATCAAGGCAACCAAGGTTAATTTTTCAATTAAACATGTATATTCATGTCTAATCCTCCATATAAACACAAAATCAACACAATTATATAGATTAATTTAATTAACTCTAAATTTTGATTATGGCCGAATCATCCAATCAAACTATTCAAGGATAAATTTTCCTTTCAAACACATGTAATCATGTTTATTCAACCTTTAAAACATCAAAACAACACAATTACATGAAACTAAACAATTCTTCAACTTGACCAAATCTTCTAGCCCAAAACCATCAACTTCCAACTTTCAATTAACCTTAAGTAAACATCTAAACATGATAATTCATCAATTAAAACCAAGATTACATCAATAAATCATCATTTCTAACATGATCATCAAATTTCAACTTAATCAAAGCAATTGAACACCAAACCTTATA